TTCTCCCTCTCCCACTCCCCCTGCTTGTGTTCCTGCTCTCGCTGTCTCTCTCTGTGTCAAATAAATAAATAAAATCTTTAAAAAAAAAAAAAAGATAAAATAGATAAAAGCAAGAGAAGGGAAGCTGTCAGACCCCAGGAGGCCGAGGCTCAGAACTTACCCAGCGTCCCCTTTGCCACAAGCATTGGCCAAAGCAAGTGAGGGGCCAGCCTAGATTCCAGGGCTGAGCAAACAGACCCTGTCTCTCCAGTAAGAAGGGCTGCAGGGGATTGTGGCCACTGGACAATCTCCTGACTCGAGCTCAGCGGCCCCAAACGAGGAAAGGGTATGCCTGCTCCCTGCACCCTGGTCTTTGTCAGGCCCTCACTGGGACGTTCTTGGATCCTCAGCGCTTTTACCCCCATGGGCTCCTGCCTCCCGGAAGATTGATAGACAGATGATAGAGAGATAGAGAACTAGAGATTATATTTTATGATGAACGTAATGGAGGCTAGATTCGTTATTACATATTCATTATTATTATGTTCTCTTTTTTTCTGATTTCATAAGAAAGGAAAATGGAACCCTTTTTGTGGGGCCCCATAACATCCCGGGCACAAGGCTTTGTATCTTGTGGGTCACGTGGAGAAGTCGGTCCTGTGTTTTGTGGCTGATCGAGCACAGGGCACCCCAGCCCAAGGGGTTCAGAGTCCTAGCCATTGCTCAGCAACCTGGGAACTGTTCAGGGTGACAGAGGGTGCAGCAGGCGTCCTCGGAATGAGTTACATATTTCCCTAGTGAGCTGTGTTCCAAATCCCCTACAAGGACATGGGTACTTTGCCCTTCCTTAAGTGATGGGCCATGACTCCATTTCTAGGGAAACTCATGGAAGCCAGGTGAGACCAGGAAGGGCATTCAGGGCTCTGATGGTGATCATAACATCAGAGAGCACCCCACCAAGTGGATGGCTTTATGGCTGGCCAAGGGCTTTCCCACATCCCCCTGCCTATGAGCCTCGCATCTGCACTCCGAGGTGTGTGCGGCAGGTGGTTCTGCCCACCTTTTCACAGAAACGGACTTTGAGGCTCAGCAATGTAAAATGACTTGCCCATTTAGTGGTGGGTTCTCTGGAAGAGCACCCTGGGCTAGCCCCCTGTCACCACGTGAGTCCCACATGATCCCTGGAGGTGACTACTGTGACCAACAGCCCGGGCAACAGAAGCTTCCTGTGCCCCTGAAGGAGGTCCGGCCTCAAAGGAGAGGCCCAGCCTGGTTAGTGCTAGAATGTTCCCTGACAGCCACATGAGCCACGTGTATTTGGGGTGGGGGAGGGCTGGGTGATTCTTTCAGATTCCGGGGGACTATGTAGCTCTTCAAAATCAGAGCCTGCTTTTGGCTTCTTCCCACATGTGGATGCTGGTCTGTTGTTTTTGACAAGGTTCTGTTGTTATTGGAGCCTGGGTGGCCCAGTCGGTTAAGCGTCTGATTCTTGATTTCAGCTCAGGTCATGAACTCGGGGTCATGGGCTTGAGCCCTGCGTCGGGCTCGGTGCTCACTGTGGAGTCTGCTTGAGATTCTCTCCCTCTCCCCCATCCCCTGCTCATGCTCTCTGTCTCTCTCTCAAAATAAATAGTCTTTTTTTCTTTTTCAGTTTTTCTTATTAGCATATAATGTATTATTTGTTTCAGAGGTACAGGTCTGTGATTCATCAGTCTTACACAATTCACAGCGCTCACCATAGTACCTACCCTCCCCAACGTCCATCACCCAGCCACCCCATCCCTCCCACCCCCAATAAAATCTTAAAAAAAACAAACCAAGATTATGTTACTACCACTATTTATTTGGAGAGCATACCAGAAAGAACACAGTCCAAAGCCAAACGGCCCCGTCTCTTATGCCACCTTCTCCCAGAGAAGCTGATTCAGCCGCTCAGACCCAGTTTCATGAATCTGAACTGAGGCGAGCGTCACCCACCTCCTGGGCCCCTTTGTGAGGATGAACTGAGGAAAGAGGTGACAAGCGTTTAGCCCATTGCTCAAAGGCATGCTCCGGGCTCAGAGGTGCTCGCGGTCTGGACTCCTCTTGTCGATATTTATCTGCCCAAGACCCACATGGAGCATCATGGGGGCCAAGCTGACCACAAAACCCTTTCCCCTGCCCTGTTGCTGGCCATCTTCCCGTGGCCTCTGTGGTGAAACATGTGGTCCATCACCTCAGACCAACGTAGAACAGATATTCTAAGCACTAAGGACATTCTTCTGTGAGAACATGAGGGATTGGGGTTCTTGCCCCTCCGAGCACCTGTCTGGAAATAGGCGGTCCAGCCCTGGCCCCTGCAGCTGAGCCTGTAGGAGCTGAGACGCAAGGGTGCTGGGCGGGCCGCGGGGAGCAGCATGGAGCCTGCCTATTAGTCACATTTCCTACATGCACCCAAAGCCATTTCCACCCACCGCTAAGGATGTGAGAAGGTTCCCCCCGCCCTGGAAACCACTCTCCTCCCAGCTGGCCCCAGTGTACCTCAGCCATGGTGACAACCTGTTTCCTGCCACAGTCTTGGGGCCTTACGAAAAGTCAGCTCAATTCAAAGAGTTACTGAGTGCTGCTGACATACCAGACTCTGGGGTACAGAGACTGACTGGACACAGTCAGGACCCTGGGGTCATTTGCAGATGAGCTCAGCAGAGCGTGGAGAGGAGCAGGGGGTCGTGGAGGCACAGAGCAGGACCACCTAATAAAACCCAGCTGAGGGCGCCTGGGTGGCTCAGTTGGTTGAGCGACTGCCTTCGGCTCGGGTCATGATCCTGGAGCCCCGGGATCGAGTCCCGCATCGGGCTCCCTGCTCGGCGGGGAGTCTGCTTCTCCCTCTCCCACTCCCCGTTTGTGTTCCCTCTCTCGCTGTGTCTTTCTCTGTCAAAAAAAAAAAATCTTTAAAAAAAAAAAAAAACCCAGCTGAGATAGGTGTAGGTGGGGTGAGCTCAGGGAAGGCTTCCTGGTGAAGGTGATAGCTGAGCTGCGTTCTGGATGCCACCAGTAAGCAAAGGGCTCAGCCTGAGCAGAGGCTCAGAGGCACTGTGGGCTCTGGACTGCTGGGTAGTTTGCTGAGGGGGAGGGGAAGAGGAGGAAATGGGGGGGCGGGGCTACACCAGAGGAGGCTGCGTGTCAGAGGGACCCGGGGTGACAGGCAGGGAGGGGTAGAACGGCCAGCTCTGTGACTCCAGGACCAACTCTGGCCACCCCGGGGGTACCTGGCCCACAGCAGACACACACCGCAGCCTGTGGACAGGTGCTCAGGGAGACCCTGAGGACGGAACAGAGAAGGGACAGTCTCGGGGAGGGGCAGCTCCCCAGCGGGGGCACTTTGGTCTACCAAAGCCGCATCCCCGATTTGAGGTGGTGCTTGAATGGATCATTTTCATTTTAAGAGTTACGTCTTCGTGTTCATGAGCATTAGAAGAATACAGAGAGGGGCGCCCGGCTGGCTCAGTCGGAACAGCATGTGATTCTGGATCTCGGAGTCGTGAGTTCGAGCCCCACACTGGGTGCAGCGATTACTTAAATAAAGATTTAAAAAAATACAGAAAGAACATCATGCCTTTTAAAAGATATCCCTTGGAATTCTTTAAGTCGAGGGAAAGGGTGTATTGACGCCACCAAGTGCCGATGAGGACTGGGGGCAGCGTCTACTGATCTCAAGGCCTCACGCAACAGGCCGTAAGGGCTCAGCGGAGAGCTGGTGAATGAATGAAGAGAACAGGGAACACGGGCAATGGGAGGGCTCGGTTTGGGCGGGACACGGTGTTTTCTCAGCGGCAGGAACCCCTCACGGCCCTGGGGACCAGTGCTGGCTTGGGTCAGCCGGTGGGAAGGGAATCAGCTCAGCCCCTTGGGCCTGGAAAAGGCAACCAGGGAGCCTACACCGAGGGTGTGGATGGCAACAGTGAGCGATGAACTCACTACCTCCCAAGTGTCCTCGGATGCCCTGGCAGCCATCCTTGGGTACGCCTACCAGAATTGAAGAGTCAAGGGGAAGAAACGGACAGCGGCCTCAGCCGCCTTCCCCCGGGTGGTTGGCATCGCTGTTTAGGGGCCGCGGAGACGGGGCTGGGAAGCTGGTTAGAACCCACTCCTCTGCTTCCCGAGAAGGTGCAGACCCCCGCCCAGAGCCGTGGGGGAGCTCCCACCACTGAGAACCCACAGCAGCCCACGCAGACCAAGCTAATAATAGCCCACATCAAGCGTCCCCTTTCTGTGCCAAGCACTTTATGAGCCTCATCAAATTTATCCCCCAAACAGCCCCGGAAAGTAAGTATGTGGATTGTTTCCATTTTATAGGTGAAAACACTGAAGTTCGGAAAAGTTAACCAATACTCCTCAAGCTCCCGTGTCCGCTTAGCGGTGGGGCCAGGATTTACACTCAGATCTGTTTGACAGACGCCAGAACCTCGGTGCTTGACCCTGGTGCCGCATTGCCGCTGTTTGTTACTTCTGGAACAGTCTTGTTGAGATTTAATTCACCTACCATGGAGTTCACCCTTCAAAGTGCATAATGCAATGGTTCATAGGGTCACACAGCCGTCCCCACAGTCAGTCTGAGAGCATTTTCAGCATCCCCCAAAGAAACCCCATACCCGTTAGATTCCCCCCCGCCCCAGCCCCACGCAACCACTACTCTACTTTCTGTCTCCGTGGAGTTGCCTATTCTGGGTATTTCACATAAACAGAATCATACAGTACGCCATCTTTTGTGGCTGGTTTCTTTTCCTTCGCATCATGTTTTCAGAGGTCATCCAGGTGGGGGCGCGTGTCTCTCCTTCATTCCGTTCCACTGCTCAGTAATTGTCTGTTGTACGGATACGCCACATTTTGTGTATCCATTCATCCACTGATGGGCCTTTGGGCTGTTTCCACCGTTTGCCCACGATGAACAAGGCTGCTTATGAGTATTCATGTACAAGTGTTTTGGTGGATGCATTTCTCTTGGGCAGATACCTAGGAGCAGAATTTCTGGGCCAAATCGTAACTGCATGTACATGGCCACTGTTTTGAGGGAAACGGAATTTGTCTGTTTGCAGATGAGAAAACAGAGACTCCAAAAATCCCAGTGACCTGCCCAAGTTGTACAAGGAAGGCTTTGCTTTGAGTTACAGCCAATTTCAAAAGCCGAGCTTTTTCAATGTATTCCGCTGTGCATTGTAGGAGCTCATTTCCTACAACTTCAAGGTAGGTGAGGTGGGAGGGGGAGGGGGGCGGCGAGATGCTGTCAGAATTAAGCCGATGAGTTAAGCAGTATCTCTGCTTCTAAGTGACTTACCATGACTCGGCCATTCACACCGTGAACCCTGTCCAGCACGTGCTATGTGCTGAGCTTTGCGATGGGCATGATGCCGACCACAAAGCTAAAGGCTGTGCCATCCTGACCCTCAAGGAGCTCCACCTCTACTGAAGAA